ACCGGACGCTCCGGTCCAGTTGAGACCAGCGTCCGGTGCACTTTGTGAAAACCTATCTTTTCTATACAGGGCGCCGATGGCACCGTCGGACTGTCCGCACTCTACGGGCGAACACTCCGCCGGTGAAGTTTCTTACCATTGCTCCCAAGTGCTAAACACAATGTGTATCACCTTTGTGCATGTGTGCTAGCATATTTTCACAAACATTTTCAAGGGTGTTAGCACTCCCCTAGATCCTAAATGCATATGCAATGAGTTAGAGCATCTAGTGGCACTTTGATAACCGTATTTCGATACGAGTTTCACCCCTCTTAATAGTACGGCTGTCAATCCTAAATGCGATCACACTCGCTAAGTGTCTTGATCACTAAACCAAAAAGCTCCTATCAATTTCACCTTTGCCTTGAGCTTTTAGTTTTCTTTCTTCTATTCCAAGTCCAAGTATGTGATCATCTTCATGGCATCACCATCATCATGTTATGATCTTCATTTGTTTCACCACTTGGAATGTGCCACCTATCTCATAATCACTTTGATAAACTAGGTTAGCACTTAGGGTTTCATCAATTCACCAAAACCAAACTAGAGCTTTCAAAGGGCCTCCACCTTGTACCTGGAATGTAAAGATACACAGGAAACAAAACACACCCGTAAAGATTGGCAAGTTCTTCTAGACTAGGCGAGCAGCATGAACCATCCGAGAGTAATTGCGCACCCGAGGTGTTCGAAGCCCTTTAGAGCATCTCTAAGAGCATCCTAAATGCCTTCCTAATCTTTGTTTTTTAGCAAGATTGAAAAAATTTTCTCTCCAACAACTCCTAATATATCCTCCCAAATTTTTATGACTTGGGAAAAATCACCCCAATCGGCGTAAAGTTACGCGCTGCTCCCGTCGCGCGTATCCGTCCCCCCGCGCGATTTCTCTCTTGCCGCCATCATTTTGGCGTGGCTTCTTGCTTCGCGCCATCTCGTGTCGCCGTGCAGAGAAGGTTTCCGTCGCCGGCGAGCACACTGATGGAGGATATCGCAGTTGCCGGCGGCACCAAGGTGATCGACGCCATCAGGGCAATGCGGGCGGTGTCACTAGCCACGGTGCCCGTCGTGGCCGCCGCCGCCATTGGTAGCGGTACAGAGACCCTTCAATATGTGATTACTGCAAGCACCACCGATCCGTACATGCCGGCGACGCCATGTATCTCTTGCTGATCCCCGGTGTCGCCTGTTGCACTGCTGCAGGGTAGCGGGCAGCGATTGAGAAGTTCTCGGCGACGGACCTGTGGGACTGCCCGGTGGCGCGGCTAAGCCGTGGCTGGGGATCAGCGTGACGGAGTTCAAGAGGAAGGTGGCCGAGTACCAGGCTAGCAACAAGCCCGTGGTCCCCAGCGCCGACGCCACGGACACCGACACCCCGATCGTCGAGTACGACGAGACCCTAGCGGCTGCCGTCGCCACTGACGAAGAGCAGAGCGAGCATCTCGTGTCGCCGTCGCTGATCGCAGGGGTTCGCCGCCCCCGATGCCGGGCTTCCTCGCCAACACTGGCATGGAGACCCGCTTCGTGCCCACCTCTGAGCCGATAGCGGCCATGAACCAGCATGGAGATGATGTGGGCCTCAAATTTGATTTTTTAGATGATATTTATTAAAAACTCTTGGAGATGACTATCTTTTTTCCTTCTAATATCTTTTTAGGAGTTGCCAAACTACAAGTTTTTAGGAGAAAAAATTAGGAATCTCTTGGAGATGCTCTTAGCAATGGGAACAGAATACTTTTTGAGAAGGAGGGATTGAGGAAAGAAAAAAAAGTAGTTGTTCCCCATCCAATGGTAGTGCTGAATCTATTTTTTCAAGTTCCTCTGAAAACACGCACAGTAATCTCATTGGCCAAAGTTGATGGGACAACGCGGAATAGCAATTAGCATTTTGTTTTTTCATTTAAGTTCGTGTTTGAATGTCCTTGCTTTTCGTTGGAAAAACCAACGCTGACGTCTCCTTCCTCTTTTATTTTGGGAGCGGAGCTGAAAAAGATAGAAAATTCCAATGATTCTTCGTTCATTAGAATGTCGATTCCTCAAAATCCCTCTTTGTGATGCTATGGAACCATGACAATTAGGATCTCAGGACGCAGCAACACCTATGATGCAAGGACCAAGTAAAGTGTTACGAAAAAGTCTAATTTTTCTCTCAACTATCACGGTCGTTTGATTTTTCTTCCTGATCTACAAAATTAGCTTTTTAACCCTTCTCAATTTTAAAAGCAGTTCGTTTTTGCACTACGAGTAGTTTTGATGACGGTTTTATTTCAGTTGTGAAAATTTTGTCCAAATATTTTGCTTGGGAAAAATAACGCAATTAAAAATTCATAGAAATTTTGTTTTAACTTGAAAAATTATGAAACTAGTTTTAGATGCCCCCCCTAAAATCATGCTGTCTTATGCCTAGCTTGAAATCGTTTGAAATTTGATGGACACATTTTAGTGCTTGTTTGCTAGTAAAAGCTCTTGCTATCTATTATAATTAGTCGATGTTGAACCTTGATGGACACATTTCAGGGTGTGTTTGGATTGAAGGAATAGCATAGGAAATTTGTAGGAATAAAAAACAGAGGAAAGGAAACAAATTTGAGCGTTTGGATTGGAGGAATCGCGCCACCCCTTTCCTCTAGAACACTGTAGCTGGCAAGCCATTTCACGGGAAAGAAACAATCCAATCCGATCCATGGTTTTGATTTCCTTCGTGGAAGCCCGAGGCATCGTGTGTGAGGAGGGAAAAAAGAGCAGTTAAGAGTAATTAGTACCCATATTTGCCTACAATTCCTATGTTATAAATTCCTGTGTTCTAAATAGCCTAAAATTTCTGTTCATGTATTTTGAAATCCCATAGTTTTTCACTTTTCATCGTACCTTATTCCTACGTTTTTTCCTATTCCTACATTTTGAATTCCTACGTTCCAAACATGGCCTCAGTGCTTATGTGTGACAAGATGCATGCAACCACGCAGGCTAACATAGTTACTTTGAAAAGTTTATCCAGGGTAGAGAACCAATGGCCTATATATAAATAATTGAACTAGGTGCTGAGGCTAGAAACAAGATGAATTATTATCGGTGGCTAGGTTGGTGGGTGAAGACACTGAATAATGCGAGTCACTCGGTCAGTCCTTGCATCTACACCTTACCTATAAATAGCTACCTCCTCATCTCATGGTGGGTGAACTTATCAACTGGTTTATCAGCTACGATCTACAGTATTTTTTTCTCATAATAAATCAGCTTCAGCCGGCTTATCAGCCGGATTTAATACCAGTCGAACAGGAATAACTAGCGAGGATGGAGAGAGGTGAGAGAATAACTACTGTCATGGGTGGGTCGATGACTACATTCCTTAGGAGTAGGACGCAACGGGAATCAAGCGACAACGAGGTGCTAGAGCAAAGGTGTGGCTCAACATGAACTCCGATCTCTGTTTTGTCTGACAATGGCCATACTCATGGCTGTCAGTGGCAGGAGGTGAAGTTTACAAACATGTGCGGTGTCTGTGATGCTCGATCATGAGCTAAGGTGCACGGAGGTTCACTGCGATGCTCGATTGTATGACCACCTGAGGGTGCATCCTAGCTCGATCAACTCAATCAACTGGGTGGATGGAAGCAAGCAGCATAATGCAATTGTGTTTGTACGGGAGACATCAATAGTCACTATTCAATCAGGAGAAGTCAGGCGGGTGGGGCTTTGTCATCAGGGATGATACAGGCCAGCAGTGGCGAAGCCAAGATAATTAGTCGCCGGGGTCGGTACTCAGTACTACCTCATAGGTTGAGAGAATATAATATCATATATAACATTAAATTAAATTAATATTATAATAACCATATATTGTGACAAAATAAGCTTTTACAAATCGCAACACTAGTGTAACACCCTGCGTCCACAACTGCTTATATTCCCTAGCTCCGCACGTGGAGGGAAGTGATAAAAACGAAAATCGGTGAAAATCAGTTAAAATTTCGATAAAAAACTGCAAATTTTCATGAAATTTTAACTAAAATATGAAGAAAAAAATCTGAACAAAATGGAATCGAAACTACCGATATATGATTTTTCCGGAGGTCACCGGTAGGAACAAAAATCACCGATTTTTTTGTGAAAATCAACAGAAATTCTGATCCCTGCCAGTGGTATCAATGTGCTCTAATTGCCTATCAAATTAGTTATATAATAAAAATTGTAGCAGATACTAATGTGCAAGCATCCATTAGTACATTTAAAAGTCATAGTGAAATGCAAGCCATAGTGCCATACTGAACTAATAAAGTAGCATATATATACCTGGCATGTGGCATCTTGGTCTGAATGAAAAATCACGTTCTTTACTAGAACGCAAGAAACACGAATGCCACAGAGCTTTTTACCGGCGGCCGCTACCCGCTGGGACTTGCGTCGACGTGAGATCAAGAACAGATGATGGCACGATGGAGCTGCGCTGCTGTGGCTAGGGGCCAGGCTGCCGGCCAATCTCCCCCACGACCGCGGAGGATTTGAGAATTGAGATGCGAGACTAGGAAGATGAAAGGATGCGTTTGCGGCCATATTGTACCGGATTGCGGAGGCAAGCTAACGTTTGGCATTCCAATAGTTAGTGGAAGCCCTAGTCCAAACTGATGTTTCCTAGTTCCATCAAACAAGGTTCTAGCCCAAACTCAACCAGACCAGCCCGCAAGCCCACCCACCTACCCACCGGGCCTTATATATTGCCCCCCACACTAATCCCCACGCAGGCACCCTAGGCCGGCGGCCGCCACCCCATGCTGTGCGCAGTACCCCCACTGGAGCGTGGCTCGCCGCCCCTGCAGCGTTGCGGCCGCGCCCCTGGAGCGCGCGCCATCGGGCCCTGGAGCACCGACGTGTGGAGACTACGATGTCGACGGCGACGGTGCCCTAGAGCTCGCGGTAGGTTCCTAGGCGGTCGGGAGAGTGGCAGTGCCAGCGAGCTCGTGGAGGTGATGACGTTCTCCCATCGTCAGCTCCCGTCGTCGGAGGCTCCCAGGCGGTCGGGAGAGCGGCAGCGCCGGCGAGCTCGTGGAGGTGACGACATTCTCCCGTCGTCGAAGATCGGGAAGGCCACCTCGCTCTCGATGTTAAGGCGCGCCGGCGAAACCTCCTCTTCCACGACGTGCTACGGCGGCCTCGGGCGGCGAACTGAGAAGGCAACGCAGATCCGGTCGGCATCAGGCAAGGAGGCCGGCCCAGCAGTAGGCAGCTGGCCGAGTTTCCTCAGATGCCGTCGGTAGCAGGAGGCCGAGCCCCCTCAGATCCCTTCGGCAGGAGGAGCAACCTCGCCTGGGCACCCGCTCCGCCTTCTCCCAGCACTACGAGAAAGCAGACCACCACCACGTCCTGGCGAACTTCGAGCAGGATGAGGAGCGAGCCTTCTCATGGGCAGTGGAGGCAGCTGCTCTACCCTGCAGCTGTGGCGACGACGGCTTCTCCATCTCGGTGGCCGACGTCCCACCCCACGACGACGGCGCGGCCCACCCCGGAGGCAGCCACGGCACCATCCCTCACCCCTACGCTGGATCCATGCATGGAGCACGATGCACGGCGGCTGCGGCTTCTTCACCACCAGCATCACGAAGGGGAGGTGGAGGCAGCGACGGCGGCCCGTCCCTCCCACACCCAGTGGCGGCGGCCCATCCCTACAACCCGGTGTAGCGTCTCGGCGGCGAATCTAGCGCCCCACGACGGCAGTGCCACTTCCTTCGTCCCCACCAACAGAAGCTCAACCTCCACAAGCAGGCATGACATCTTCGGCAACGGTAGTGACGCCTCTTTATTGTTTTTGTGTTTGCTGTTTTGTGTTCTTACGTGCATGTGTGCATAAGTTTCTATGCATGGTTAAACTGTAACTTGGTATGCATTCTATACATTATTATAACAAATTTGTATACATTATTATTGGAGCAGTTATCATGTGCACTGCCACACAATTATATACATGGTTAGAGCATTCTTCTATGCATTGTTAGAACAATTCGACATATATTGTTTGAATAATTATCTGTATACATCTACATAATTTTATACATTGTTGGTATACAATTCTATACATTGTTAGAGCACTTCTATGTGGTTTTTATGCGGCATCAAAATTACTTTTTATTCATCGAACTACTAATTTCTATGCAATGTCGGTGCCAAAACGTTTAAGCGCATCTTGATCATTGGTTCTATGAATCCGATCGTCCATCATGTGTTATTTTTTAAATTTTAAATTTTCGAGAAGACGAGATTGTCTCCATGCTTTACGCGTGCTGGCTCCATGTTCTATGTATTGTTCCCATGTTAATTATACATCCCCAAATTGGAAAGCATGATGTTGGTGGAGGCAACCACGGTTGTGTCAGGTAGAATGTCCATCTCGTGGAAAGGTTTTTACGTGGCAACAAAATTAATTTTTATTCATTCAACCACTAATTTGTATGTAACGTGGCACCAAAAACCTTTCTACGCATTTTGACCGGTGATTCTATGCACCCAATCGGCCATCACGTGCCATGATTCAAATTTCAAATTTTGGAGAAGACAAGGTCGTCTCCATGTGAAGAGGTTTTATGCGATAACAAAATTATTTTTTATTCATTCAACCACTAATTTGTACGCAACGTCGGAACTAAAAACTTTTTTGTGCATCTTGACCGTTGATTCTACACACCCAATCGGCTATTACGTGCCATGATTCAAATTTCAAATTTTGGAGAAGACTAGGTCGCCTCCATGTGGAGAGGTTTTTACGCGGTAACTAAGTTAGTTTTTATTCATTCAACCACTAATTTGTATGCAACGTCGGCATCAAAAACTTTTCTGTGCATCTTGACCATAGATTCCATGCACCTAATCGGCCGTATCGTGCCATGATTCAAATTTCAAATTTTGAAGAAGACGAGGTCGTCTCCATGTTTGTATGCTCTCACTCACAAGATTCTATGCATAGACAGAAGCATAAATCTTTATATCATAATGTGCAAAATTTTAAATTTTATTTTTTTCAAAAATATATTCATAATGGATCTTAAATCGTGCACAAAAATATCAGGAGTTCAATGGTAAAAACTGCTTTTAAATCGGATGCTTCGTTAAAGAATTATAATAAAAAAACAGAAGAGATTGGATTGAGTTGCACGTATGCATGCGTGCGTCAGCCGAGTGAGGTTGTGCAGGAATTAGGGTCCAACGAGTGTTGAATGGATTCGTGCTCATATAGCTCCAGTCCTGGGTGAAGCAAGCATGCGTAGCGCTGCTTATAAGGCTCCTGCGATTGAACTGTGTAGGTCGTCAGGACGGTGGTGATCACATCTGGCTCACGTCGGCTGAGCTGTAGATGGCTCGCAACAGATGACACGCTGTCTGTGGCTGGGTAGGTAAGCTAGGCGAGAGTAGTTTCAATCTCTAACTAGAAGGAGAAAACTAGAATCATGTATGTTAATCTCTGAAAATAAGGAAATAACAGTGCTAGTATTTGAGCGAAGAGATACTACTTACATCATCTGCTACTAATAAAAGAAAGAAAACAATTGCTCGCAAAGAAAATAACCCGGTCATGCAGTGTCAGTGAAATGAAAGATGAGCTAGGTGAAGCACACACTGCTGCATCATCAGCCAACGCTCCCATGTTTATCACTTGTTCGTTCTTTTCACGTGGACGACAGCTGATCCAATGGCCGCTCACCCCAGGGAACCGGGTATTGGTGGGAACGAAAATGCATGCATGGCCAGGGCGATGCATGCAGAAAATATCACCAGTCCACTGCTGACATACATTGCCCAAGTCGTCGCTTACGAGCTGCCAAAAAAAAAACGTTAAAAAAAAGCTTTTGAGTCTGCCGGTGGCGAATCTAGAAAAAAATGGGATCGGGGTCGGCATTGACTCATGATAGAAATTTATAGTGATTCAACACTACGATACGTGCAAAACATAGGCATAGTTATTTATAATGATGACATACTACAAAAATTAAAGATTCATATAGAGGAGCGAAAGTAGTAATGTTATAATAAGACAAAAAACTCTTTACAATAGTGGTTACCTCTTATAATTTCACTCTACAGTTACGGTCATCCATATTCTGAAAACGAACTATGACATCGTCATTTGGGATTGCATCAAGAAATTGTTGCGTCTTTTAACTGCTGTGTTATGAAAACTATTAGGTCAGGTGCCTACGTGATCTCGAAGCCTGTCCTTTTTGTTAAAGCCATCCCAACCATTTTTCATGAATGCATCATTCCCACCTTGGCTCTCATTAGAATCTCTAAATAAGTAGCAATATAAACAAAAATATTTATCCATCTTTTCACTGTGCTCTAGCCAATCATATTATGTGAACCATTCAGGGTGAAATCGACGTGGATGACCTGCTATAATCTTTTCTGGATACCTAAAACCAGGTGGTGGTCTAAAAGGACCTCTAATCAAATACTTGCGTCTTATCTCATCTTGTAGATTTTGTCCTATGTAATATGAAATTCTCCTTCTTTCTGCTGGATCATATGAAGCTCGTCAAAATTTACCTCCCATCGTGCGACTCGCGAAGAACGAAGAGTAGTATGATTGGTGTTTGTTGCAGCTATACTTCCATCTCTTCTTGAAGTGCCTGCATCAGGATTCTCATCGCCATCTCCTCTTGAAGCACCTCCATCAGGATTCTAACCATCACCAGGGGGATTTTTTCTTTTCAAGAATCGTTCTAATGTTCTTTGGTTGCCTAGCTATCAAATTAGTGAACACAATTAAACACTAAAGTAGATACTGAATAACAGTAAGCTACCGTGCGTTCATGATAAAATAAAATTAATTTCCTCACCTGACATGTTTGATATTGCTCCAATAGTCCAATCAGCCAAGAGGATTAGAGGCAACAGGCTTGAACATCAGTACGTGTACGTCATGCCGGCGCCCAGTCACCGGCAAGGCGGCAACGGCAAGATGCGGCGAGCCGGCGATGCTTGCAGACTTGCAGTTGCAGGCTGCAGCGCCGCTGTGAGGAGCAGGGGGCGAGCGCAAAGGAAGAAGACGATGAGTCGATAAGTTGAATCCCCAGATTGGAAAGACCTACTCAGGCCGGTCTACGGTGATTCTATAGGAAGAGTGATCGACAGCAAGCAGCCAGCAGGTGATTTTTGGGCTTCTTAGCTAGTTAGCTTGTGTTGTTTATTGGCCGCTTCATCCACGAAGTGGGCTTTGTGGCCTGCTGCCTACTGTTTGCATATTTCCTTGGACTAGGCTGCACAGTTGACGGGGTCAACATTTGATTTCACTGGGTCCATCACGGTGAGACTATATGGGGGTATCACAGGCTTTAAGGAAGTCATCAGGGTCGGCGGACCCCGACGCTTTACCGTAGATCCGCCCCTGGAGTCTGCCCAGCATGGCCGGCTCTCCCACAAAATTGTTACTTCCTTACATGACTGTTTTTTAGGCTTCAAACCCAAATAACAATATCTGTTGGATCGGCGATTATATCAATGAGCTGGTACCACCGAGCATATGGATCCCCATATAACAAAGCATGGCGATTATCAATAAGCTTAACAAAGCATGGCGATTATCCAGCTGCTTTGTTTAAGGACTTCCATGGGGGCCAGTTAGGGCAGTCCCAATAAAAAAACTAGTAGTTTCTATAACATAGGATACCGCACCAAAAAAGTACTGATTTCCAACCCATGGTTTCTATGAGTAATAATTATTTTCTCTTTCTCTCTCCCAACTCTATCTTCTTCCTCCAATGGGAGTGCGACACGAACTCCCTAGAAACTAGTGGTTTCTCCCCAATGGTCATTCCATGGTTTCTTGGTGCATTGGGTCAAGAGTAGACCTGATTTCTTCATGAAGAAACCATTTCTATGATTTTTGCTCTCTTTCTTCATTAATTACATTGTCATGTCAGTGTTTTGCCTACGTGGCAAGTAATTTAATGAGGATAGAAACCATCATCAATACACCGTTGGGACTGCCCTTAGATATTCAAAGATTGAACTATATGGGGTGATTACCCTGGTTCCAAAGGTCAAGGAGGCCAACATCATTAAGCAATACAGGCCCATATGCCTCCAAAATGTGGATTACAAATGGATAACTAAGACTCTAACCAACAGATTGACCCCTGTAGCTAAGAAGATCATTGGCAAAAACCAAACAGGATTCATCAAGGGGAGAAATATGTTAGAGGGTGTGGTAGTTCTTCATGAGGTACTGCATGAATTGAGAAGATCCAAGGGTCAAGGTTTGATCCCGAAGATAGACTTTGAGAAAGCATACCACAGGGTCAGATGGCAGTTTTTGGAACAAGTAATGCTTGATAGGAATTTTCATCCCCAGTGGGTTCAGTGGGTGATGGCTACTGTAACAGGAGGAAAAGTTTGTATCAATACGAATGGGGAGAGAAGCAATTATTTCAGCACTCGATCATAGAGGTTTGAGACAGGGAGATCCTGTCCTCCCTCTGCTCTTCAACTTACAGCCTGTTCGTTTCGGCTGGATTGCTCGTATCTGGCTTATAATCTAAGGTTTAAACAGTATTTTTTCTCACACCAAATCAGTCAGCACTACTTTCAGCCATGGTTTATAAGCCAATCCAGCCGAAATGAACAGGTTGTCAGTGGCAGATGTTTCGGGAGTTATGTCTACTAAGGTAGTCAATAGAGGGCATATTAAA